CAAAAGTACAAAATGACACACAAGCTCTAATGAAGATTCTACAAGACCGCCAAAACGCTTTGATTGCTACCTTAGACGGCCTGCTTGCAGAACAAACAACAGCAAATGAAGACGAGAAAAAAGAAATCAACGCCAACATCCAACAAGTCACTGAATTGAAACATCAGTGTGAAACAACGGAAGAGAAAAACTTAGAAAAATTGATATTAGAAAGCTACGAAAATTTACTAGAAGTTTGTAAAACTACAGCGCACAACAAGTCCGTCTTATCGACCAAACCAGTCAATAACTCAAGTATTCGTTTCATTCCAAACCCGGAATTTCTTCCCCTAATGCAAAAAGTCAAACTCGGCGATGTAGCAGAAAGCGTGACAGATCCGTCATGTTGTTCTATGCACTCTTCAACAAAGATCAGATGTGGTTTTATCAATGAAGTTCTTGTTTTGACAAAAAATTCACAAGGAAATGCATGCCACACCAGTAAAGGAATGATTGATGTTCAAATCCAAGATGTCGACGGCAACAATGTGCAGAAAGAACTGACCGAAACTGAAACTGGGAAATTCCTCGTAAAACACAAAGTAGAGAAACGCTCACTTTATAAAGTTGTGGTGAGTATTGGAGGAAAGGAAATCAAAAACTCACCACAGAACATTGAGACAATCGATGCTAAAGCAGAATTTGAATCCTTGGCGATAATTGATGTCAAAGAGAGGATGTCCGGCCCTATTGCACTTGATGTAAGTCATAGTGGTGATATTGCTGTGGTTAATAATTCCTATTTTGAAAAGGATTTCCGTGTTGTGTTGTTCAATGCTGATGGAGAGTATTTGCGAGACATTGGTGGTGCAGGATCAGGAGATGGTCAGCTGAGTGATCCAACTGGAGTCATCTTCAATGAGGATAAAATAGTGATCACCGATAATCCAGGTGATCGTGGCTGTATCAAGGTATTTGGCATCGATGGTAACTACAAAAGAACTCTTTGCAAACTACCTGAAGGAATGATGTTGCAAAGAATGTGTACAGTCAATCAAACTATGGCGTGTTTGTATTACAATAAGAATAGAAAAGAGACATTTATTAAATTGTTTGACATACACAGTTGTGATCACCTTCATGACATCAAACTTGATGTTCCTGATGATGTTCATGGGATGCCTGTCTCATTAGCTTATGACAACAATAAGTACTTTGTATCGTTTTATAGTATGAGCATTGTTTATGTTTTTGACGAGAATGGTGGTCTACTGTACACGATTGGAATGAAAGGCAACAAAAAAGGTCAGTTTAACGGTGTAAGTGGACTTGCCGTGTTTGGTAAAGAAATGCTTCTTGTCTGTGATGGATATAATCACCGCGTACAAGTCTTCAGTCAAGACGGTCAGTTCATAAATTCCTTTGGTAGTAAAGGTGCAGGTCTTGGTCAAATGAATGATCCGTATGACGTTTCTGTTACACCAGAAGGTCGAGTATTTGTGCTTGAATGGAATGGCAAACGAGTGCAGGTGTGGAGATGAGATCTGTTGACTGCCTTCATAGCGGTGTACCCATGAAACAAATACTAACTGTTACACACCAAATATGTACAATTGTAGTCATAGAGAACATGTCCTAAATCATTTATCCTCCGTAGCAGCAGAACGTTTGTTTCTATCTTATTTTAGCAGGACCAAAATCCCAGGTAAAACAAATGATACACTCCAATTGACATTTTATGAATCATATTCATTAGGAATGGAATCAATATATTTTCTTTGAATTCTAATTTTTCACTCAAAATACTAGATCATTATACTCCGTATAGAAAATAATAATTCAGACTAATGTATGTGGCTCATTGTAATTTTTAAGCAAATATTGACGTTATAAAATAAAATAATTCGAATTTTAAGAGACCCTTAAGAGACAATTAACAYTTTTGCGAAAATTTAAATGTCAAACATCTAGAGTTCAATGCGAAATACAATGYATCTACTTTACAAATCAACAAACAATTGAACTTCTCTATGAGTCTCCACATGTCGCTAAATGTAAATAAAAACAGAATAAGAAATCTGAAATAAAAGCCTTGTAAACCTAACTATGCGAATAAAGAGAATATGGCGTGTGAATGTCGAAAGAAACCAGCAAACTTAATAACACTGAAACTACCCCCCCAAAAAAACCTGAAAAAGTAATGGAATGGAAAGCTAAGAAAAAACCAAGCTTATTATATCGGTCTAGTATTTCTTGTGATTTTATATGAATTAGACGCTCTCAGAGAGTGTAGTCGGGCTAGCTTTTTTGAAAAATTGAGAAAGACAGGATATTACTCCTGGCTTGATATTTCTTGTGTTTTGACGTTTTTGYGTCAGRTCATCAGAAAAGAATATCGYCGCGCGTGAATAAACAATTARAATTTTGAATTCCACATTAATTCATTAAGGACTAGTTTTCASGCASACGTACTTACCTTTTTCGTCAAGTGACAAAGTAATCTTTGGGGGGTCTGACACAACAGAAAATACCCTAGCCTCCCGTGGTAGGGTAAGYTGTGGCCATACAAAGTTAAGCTGTCCAATCTCAACGCATAGTTGCTTCAAGAAATATTGACCTTCATCGGGTACCTATAGAAATAAAAAGATCAAGATTATCTTAAGCTG